GCCAGGACTGAGCTGGCCCGGCACCTCTGGGCTTGGAAGTTCATAGCCCTGGCACCTCTGGGCTTGCTGCATCAGTTATGAATGTAAAAAAATTGCTTGAGCCCTGGCACCTCTTTCATTACAAATTAAGCTCTGGTTGTTGTAATTGTGGATAACTGAGTAATACATTATGTAATTGAATTACCAGGCAGGGGTGACAACTGCCTCCCACCTGAATGGCCCATCACTGAGATATATGATTCCCTGATGACTCACTGTTACTCCAAGACCATAAGGAAATAATTTTCAATATAGTCACATTTATTCCTTAAATATTACCTGTGCATGCATTTCCCAATGACTATGAGTATCGCTAAGTTGTAAGCTTTCAGTAGAGCCCTCATAGGCTACCTCTTATGGATAAATACCATGAAAGTGGTGTATTAGGTGTAGTGAGTTTGTCTGGTCTGAGGTAGGAGTTACTAGTAAAGAACAGGGAACACTTTTCCAGTTGGCACTACTGGGCCTCTGCATCAGTTACAAAGACCAATAACCCTGTTGTTTGACAGGGATCAGTATTTGCTGACTCAATTGATAGCTGTTACACTCAGAAATGCAGACAGAATCAGGCAAGTTTCTGTGTGCTTGAACAAACCAGAGTTCAGATCTGACTAATTTGCTGAGCTGGAAAAGAATCTGACTGATGTGCTCAGTTTAGACAGAGCAGCCATGTCCAGAGATTTCCTGAGGACTGTGCCAAAGTGCTGGCAGGTGTTTGCTGCACGTTCAGCCGTGCATAGTCCTGAGGCAGCTTCTGCAGCTCTCTGGAGACAGGGATGAGATGAGGACAATGGTACCCTTGCTGCAAAGGTGCTTTGCTTTTTGGTGCCTCTGATGAAAATCATGGGGACATTTTTTGTATCTGAAATAGACATGGGCCCAAACCCAATCCGCATTCCAATAAATGTTCAGGATTGAGGGTGTTTGAAATCTAAAGCTTGACCCAGATTCAGCCTCTTCAAATGACTCCTACTATTATAATAGGCAGAAGCAAAGCACCAGGGCCAAGTTGCTGTACTTCGGGATTTTCAAAATCTTTATCTGAATTTTGAGGTTTGAGTTAATTTCTAATTTAAAAACTTTCCCCTACTTCCAGGTTCCTTATTCCTCCAACCACTGGGGCTGGCAGAGCCTGCAAATGCTGTGAGGCATTGTTGCTACTTATAGAACCATAGAATAGGGTTGGAAGGGATCTCAGGAGGTCATCTAGTCCAACCCCCTGCTCAAAGCAGGACCAGTCCCCTACTTAGTCTGAAGTGTGGAGGCAACACAGTTAGCACATGCTCTTGGACTGTGTGGTGAGTGGCCCTCAGAAGGTTCAGTATTCAGGCTCAGTTCCAGGGCTTCTCCGAAGCTTAGCAGAAAGAAGTGAGCATGTGAGCAGCCAGCCAGTGAGAATAGAGGAAGGAAACTGGGGGAAATAGGGGATAAAGAAACTGAAATTGGCAGAGAGATGAACAGCAATTAGAGAATGAGGATAGCGTCACTTTCTAGGGTGCAATCCAGACCAGTGAGGGGTTGTGTCCTGCAATCTTGGGTGCTTCACAATGCTTTGCTGTAGCTCCTCACCGGGGCCACTCACAACCATCCTACTAGCAAGCAGGTCACACCCTGTGTGTCTCTGTGCTAGACAGCCCTGGTTCAGCAGTTCTGACCTCAGCAGCCAGTCTACAGCCCCACTCTGGCTTCCACCAGCCTTGGTCACTACTTGCAGGGTGACCCCAACACACTCCCAGTCCTGAATTTTCCCAAAACCATGTGCTCTGCAATGTCCAGCCCTGGACAGTTCAGAGAAATACTATGATTTGTGTGCTCCTTTAAGGAGTGAAAACACACCAGTTTGCCACATTAACTGGAGCTGATGTTCATTTTAGTATGAACACAACAATATTGGTTTAATAGTAAAACAAGTTTATTAACAAAAGCAGATAGGTTTTTCAGTGAGTTAAGTATAAGAGATAATGTTATAAAGGGTTACAACCAAATAAAAATGAAAACACGCATCTAAAAGCCTAAAGATTTGATTCAAGGCTTTATTTAAGATGGCATTTCTCACCCACAGTCTTCAAGCAAGATGGTGAATCATCCATTCCTTCGTCAGGATCTCTTCCAGAGGCCCATATGCTGGTGCCTTTGTCATCTTAGGTGAAAAGATTTTTGCCTAAGCAGGTTCCTCACCTATATTCGGTTCCAGAGACTTCTATCTGCCCCCTCTTAGTTTAAGGACCCATCTTTCTCAGCCTCCAAGAGCTCTGGCCCCTTCTGTCTGTCTAGTGATGGATGCCAAAGAGAGCTTCTGTCCTTGCTTATATCTCCCAAGTTCAATGATCTTGCTTCAAGAGGCAGGATGACCGCATGCTGTTCTGTTCTTCCTGTGGGCTTCCTATATGATTTCTATGTAAATGGGTCTTCCATTGTTTCTGATTCCACCATGCTTAATGTATATAGGAGACAGGTAGATAACTGTGCCATTCCCCACTGTCTGGGCAGACAGTACAGCCTAATATCAGTGAGCATCCATAATTCCTTACATTGTGTTAATACATACATTTCACAATTATATTAATCACCAGTGTGTCATCCGAAAAGACCTCACTCTGTACACTTTTATAATACAGTAATATTGTATACAATCAGTTGATTATCATTTGAGGTTAACCTGCTTCTCCCCATCTTTATAGCCCAGTAAACCTTTGAAATGAATTCTTCTGAAAAGTAAAACCCAGACCAACCTTCTGTCTCCTGCTGGATGTAGATGCCATGCTGTCTTCTCCCCCACTTGTTAGTGTGAGGTTTGCCTCCATCCCTTGTTAGCTTGATGAGTTTGTTTACTGTTTATATGTAAATTGAGGTAAACACACATTCCTTTGTTTAAGATAGACCGGTTTAACAACTCCCTGGTTCACACATACAAATATATGCTGGAATTATAACTAAAGTAACTCTTAATACCCATTGCGTACATACGTTGCACACGAATATTAATGATCAGTAAGTTGTTAGTTTTCAAATGATACCTCACAAGGCATATTTTGAACAAAGATTATTAAATAGTGTGTAGGGTGTGAATACAGGACTGCTTGGTGTCACAGACAGAAACAGAAATTGGTGGAGTAGAAATTATGGAATGGGACGACGACTGGGGGATCCTCCCTTCCTTCCCTGAAACAGGGGGTCTGTTGCTCAAAGGGAGGGTTTGCTGTTAATTGAGAACAAGGGGCACAAACAGAGGTTCCCAACCTTCACCTAGCTCCAAACCCATGCTCTTAGGCCATCACTTCTATAAACACTGCACTTCACAAAGTTCAGTTAAAAAGCCTACCTAATGAGGAGACAAATGGAGATTTAGTAATGGGAGAGGTGACAGATGGGCTGAGGGACTACAGAGGCTCATGTAGTTTGCCAGCTGCTCTCCTGAAATGGGAGCATATGTTTTAAGGCAAAGATCTGTAAAGAAGAAGAAGCACTAAGGGCTTCCTCGCAGGGGGAACAGGCTTGTAATGTCTGAGAAACTGCTAGTGAGGCATTTTGGAATTAGGTGTTTATGGTATTTGGGTTGAACCTCCTCCTAGTCACCTTTGAGACTGCACCAAGTATAACAATGCAACACTTTATATAGAGTTGTAGTCAGATGCATCTCCAGATATCTCACAGAGCTAATACAGTCAGTATTCAATCATCATCAATAATCCGTAAACAAGTAGAACTCAGAATGTGGATTAAGTGGAACAAATTTGTGGTTACCTGCCAACTGTGAAGCGCCTACTCTGCTGCACATCATGGCCATGCAGACCCCACAGAGATAGAAGGGATACAACTTAAATATTCTGGCTTCAAAAGCACAGACTCCCTACTATGTGAGCTGAGAGAGAATCTCCTGTAGGTGTTAGCATTATAGGGTCTTTGACACAGTTGGGGGCAGTGGTACACGTATACTAACCAGTTCATTACAGGATTATTCAGGGAGAGTGACAAATGATTGAGGCTAACCATCCTAGCAGGGCTTAAAGAAATTCTGACCATGATGTTCTGAATCACTAGGAAGTATCTGGAGGAGGAGAAGAGAGAGTAAATATGTGCTGGACTGTAGAATTCCTCTGCCCTTGGCGGAATGCAGATGTCCTGGACTTGGAAGCAATGATCTCATTTTCATTGAATTTTCTGAGGTTGGCTACTGATGTTGTGAATCAATATGAGACCCCATTGGGCTGGTTTTGGAGATGCAAATGCTCAGCCCTTCTGAAAATGGATGCATTTCATATGAGCTGGCACTATGTAAAATGTTGACCTTAACCTCACTGTGTTTTTGTTTCCACATCTGTTCTGCAAAATTATTACCTATGTAGTACAGATAGTGGGGAATGGTGCTTTATAGACAGGTGAGAAGAGATGCTCCCTGCTCCAAAAAGCTTGCTACCTAAGTAAACACACACAAAATGCCTTAATACAAAAAATCTGAAATGGGGAGAGTATTTACCTAACTCACATGGGTGTTGTGAGCTTAAATAAATTGGTGTTTGTAAAGTGCTTTGAAATCCTCAGATGGATGGGTGGTATAAAAATTGTTGTTAACAAACTTAACTCTGCGTTAACTAATGTTGTTAAAATGCAGAGACAGATAAATATGCCTCCCTCCACCCCACATCCCCTACTGCAGCAGCTGGTTCTTGGTGGGTTCATAGTACAGAGGGTATATTTACATCTAAACCCAGGGGAAAGTCCCACACTGTGAAGTCCAGATGAACAGTTTGTTTGGGCATCACCCCGTCAGTTGGGCAAGCACAGCTCCCACATCCAAAGTGGTTGGTATTCTATCAGTGAAGAGTTTGTTTGTTTGGTCCTTGCCAGACTCCAGAGAAATAGCCTTGAGGAAAGGACACCAGGATATATAATAGACCAAGGTCCTATGTTCAGTTTATGCTCCACTAATGCTTCCAAATCTACCTTTCTTCTTACTGTAGTACTGGATAAATGAATACACCTCTACCTTGGGGATTGGGGTCTTCCACTCCGGCATCGAGATCTACGGCAGAGGTATGAAGCTTTCTTTTTAGTTACATCTGAGTCTGGGGGGACAATCCTACTGATCTTACGATCTTTTATAAGAAAGGGGTGCCCTGGTTTGTGCCTTTTGGGGTGAGGGGGCTCTGAGGAGTAGAAATTCAGCCAATTATTTTTAGACCGGGGTGTCCAAAGTATGGTATGCAGCTCATGCAAATAATCTATCTATCTATGGTATGCAGCTCATGCAAATAATCTCCTTTTCAATATAGATGTGCTGTCTGCAAAGCTAGAGTACTGTTTCTTCAAAGCTGTAGCAGGATGTTAGGCAAGAAGGGGCTGGGAAACATTATAGGCAAAGTGAAGCAAGGCGAGAGACACAAAGAGAGTAGCTTTAAGGATAATACAGTTTCCCTTATTTTAATACATTTCCTAGTTCAGTGTTAGAAGAAAGAATCCCAGAAAAGTAGCTTTCTCACTGTCCAATGACATGGTCTCAGAAATTCAGTCATTTTGCATCAGTGAGAAAAATAAAATGTCAAAATTCAACCCTGCCCAAGACTTTCCGTTTCATAAGCCCCTGGAATGGCCTAAGGGGAAGGAGCACTTTACTAGATATTGAAGCTTACCACACAGTTGGTGGTAAAATACAAGTCAGCTCATTAATTTATGCAGTGGGGAGTGAAGCTAAAAATGTTTAGAAATCACTTGCCTTCACTGAGGAATCAATAAGAATAACTATTATGTTGCCTTTTAAAAGGGTGGTGAGTATTTAATTCCAAAAAGGAAAGTATTATATGAACGGCTATGCTTTTATGGCATTTCTAAAGGTCTTTTATGAACAAGCAGAGCATCGTGACTTTGGTATCTGTCAGGGAGAGCACGTAAGAGAACATCTAGTAGTTGGGATTTTAAACAAGGAGCTTTCAAAAGAATCAGGTCTGAGGTCCTCTGGAACAAGGTGGTACAACAGATATTCCATCTGAACTAGTGAAAATGCAAGTCACCCAGCAAGGTAGCAGTTAGAGCAATGTGCAAGAAGTAGCAATGAAAAAATTCCCGTGGAGGAGAGGGGGAAAGAAGCCTCATAACAATGGCTCTTAAGAATGCTGAGTTCCTGGACAGAACTGTGGCAGTTGTGGCCGGGGAGAGCACAGGACAGATTATTATTATTATTATTTTTATTATTATTATTGTAGTGGCTAGGAGCCATCGGTGGAGGTACATAGAGGTAGAGCAAGAAACAGGGATATTAGCAGAGCAGCTATCAAAGCAAAGGAATGAAGGAGTACAAGCAAGAGTGAATAATTCATGTTTCTTAGGATCTGTGTCCAAAGACAGCGTTTGTGAATAGACTTGGATCTAATCTCAAGATTTGCAACATTTGTTAAATTTAAAATTGATTTCAGGGGTAGAGGTGACTATCTTGTAAAGAGACTTAAGAAGATAAGCCAAAGTCCTAACTTGGAGTAGCCCAGGACAGTGTTCAATAGCCCAGGGTAACAGATCCATTGCCTCAGTCAATTCAAACTTACCTACAGAGGCAAGGAGCATGTGGTGTTAATGAGACTACCGCAAGTAAACTAGACCAAACCACAATCATTAAGATGGCCCTCATAAAACTGGACATTGGCATGGTGTTCAACAGACAGAGCCTGCTTAAAACAGAGCCATTCCAGATCCTACTAGAAGAGGGGATGTACCCTATGTGCGCAGTACCACCTGGAGAGTGCCCATCCCACTGCTCCTGAAAATGAATGAAGAACTGGATAGGATGGAGAGAAATGGCACAATAAAGAGCAGTAATGAACCACCGGAGTGATGTGCCCCAGTAGTGTCATGAGGCAAGGGGGGAAACTATTAGCAAAGATCTAAAGAGGCTCAATTAAACAGTAAGGAGGGAAAGGGATATTCGTCTCACCTCAGAAGATACTATCCCCAAGTTATTGGGTGCAACAATGCTTTCTTCACTAGGTTTCAGACAAGTTCTTCTCCACCCCAACAGTTCCAACTTTTCTGCAAAGCTATTCAGAAGGAATTGCTCTTTGCTGCCTCCCAGTCAGGGTCACAAGCACCCAGAAATCTTCCCATGGAAAAGGAGTGGGATACTGCAAGGCCTGGAGAGAGTGGAAGCTTTTCTGGATGATGCTATAACTCCTAGGAAATCAGAGAAAGAACATAGCATAATACAGTATTGCAACAAGTTCTGATGGCAATGTTACAACAAACCCAGGAACAGTTCCAATTGCTAGAAGAGGGGGGAGGGCAGATCCAGAAAAAGCTAAAGCTATAATTGAAATGTTACCGCCTAAAATATACCAAAAGTGATGTGGTTTCTTGGTCTGATAAAATTTTGGAAAACAAACTGGAGAAAATTCAGATCTAACCCACCCTCAAAAGGCCAAGCTCTTTATGAACTCCTTAAAACAACCGTCTCTAAGTGAATCTGGAACCAAGCATAAGAACAAGCTTTTGAGGATCTAAAGAATCTATTGACCACATCCCAGGTACTGATATGTTATGATATTTCCAAGTTTACAGACTCCACAGATTTCAGCTGCTACTGTGGGGTGCTAATAGGAGCCTTTAGCATATTGTTCCAGATGGCTTTCAGATCCTAAAACCAAAGCAGAGAGAACATTTGGCAAGCATATGGGCATGTGAGAAGATCAAATGGTACATATAGGGTCTTGGCAGTTTCATGCTCGAGACAGACCACAAACCACTTAGACCTTTAATAAACAGCAAAGATCTAGGAAAGGTGCCCCTTACATGCTAGAGTTTTTTCATGCATTGTTTGAGAATTAAACCTATTGTAGAATATGTACCACGGAAATCCTTTGCGGTGGCTGAGAGGTGCCAAATCTAAGAGGCTTTCTTCTCTAACTGTTAGAATGCAGCCCAAAGCTTATCCAGCCTTAAACAAGGAGACTCAATCCTGATAAAACCACGTGAGGAAGAATGTTAGACAACACCAGCTGTTGTCACTGGACGTAGCTGCAGCCTGAGATCCTACATGACTGAAACTGATGAAAGTACTCAGTACGGAAGAAAGAGGCAGCACCTTTGGCTGGGTGGAAGGAAGGTTCTAGACTGGAGCTCTGCAGTGAAGCAGAGAGAGAGAGAGACAGAATAGCTTTAGGGGTAGCTAAAAATTAGCTTTTTGTTTTTCCTTATATGAATAAAGCTCCTTGTTCAGTGTTAGACGAGAGTGTCTGTCTTTCTGTGATTTTTTTTTTTCTTTTACCATTGCCACGACAGATTACATGTTCCAGTATGCAATGGTCCACCTTGAACCAAGCAGCTTTTACAGTTGACTCGAGATGGAGCATGACATGATGGGTCCTGTAGTTTCCATATGTCTGACCTGCATAAAGATGAGTGCAGCTGCAATTAGCTCAGATTTCTAAAAATCAGGTGCAGACTTTTGACTCCTGGTAAACTGCCTGTGTGTCCTCCTGCTGGGCAGTGTTTGGTAACCCTCTGCTTTACTGAAGAATGGAAGAGTTTTCTTAACTGGGCGTCAGTCCCATCACCTTCCTAAATGACTTTAGGATTTCTTCACCTTAGTAATAAGCTTTGCTGCCCCCTTGGCTTGCTGACCAAATCCATTCAGGCAGGCTCAGAGAGCCCCACACAGGGATTGTCTAGGACTATGGCCAACTAATAGCATTAGCAGAGATGGAGCATGATTGGGAATTGGGGTTGTGAGGGTATCCTGGGGCTGATATGTAACTGGACTAGGAGGATGGATTTTAGTGCCTGACTGAAACTGACTCTGGCAACGGCCCTAACACCATGGCTAACATTAAGCCATGCAGACAGCTGCTGTGGACTTTCCCTGATACAGCCTTCATTTGATTACTCACAGTCTCTTTCTTTCCTTGTCAGAATTTGCCTATGGAGGGCATCCTTATCCTTTCAGTGGGATTTTCGAGATCACACCTGGCAGTGCGGTAGAGCTTGGCGAGACCTTTAAGTTCAAGTAAGGGCCCTTCTCCACACACCCTTCATCTTGCAGTTATCAATGAGCCTATTTAGGGTCAACAAATCAGTCCTGCCTTGCCATTTTGAGTCTTATCTTCCCATTACCAGCTCCCACCCCCACCATGTTTCCACCTGCTCCTGATTCAAAAGCAGTCCAACAGGACTCTTGGTGTGGGTGAAGGTTGTGTACAAGGATGTGGGGCAGTATATCTGAGAGAGTGCTCAGAGTGTTTTCCTCCTCTGTTTTCAAGTGCAGTTTGACGTGAACACAGTTCTTTTTTGTAATTTGGTTGTTTTCTTTTTGTGCTCCAGTTTTGCCATTCAGCAAAATTCTGAGACAAGTACCTTGGTAGCTGCTGCAGAGCCAGTAGAAGGAGCACAAGAACATCACACGTTGCTTTTTATGCTTTCCACAAAACCAGGAACTATTGGAAGTTTTCTCTTTTGTCTGTTCTCTATTGACAGAGTGGGAATACATTACTTTCTAGAGCAGAAGTGGGAGGATTTTAGATGCCCCGTTATAAAATATTTAAGGTGATCAGATTTTGGGACTGTGGCTCAGTTAATGGAAGATGGAGCCTGTCTTCCCTAGATCACTGATTCAAATTTGGCTCAGAAGAAATTGACTGACTGGAGGATTTTACCCTCCGAGATCCATGGCCTATGTCAAAGGAACTTGGTGGGGGCAGAGAATTTTAAATCCAGTTCCTACTGTCAGAAGTCCACATCACAGAAACCACCACCATAACTGGCACACTTCTTGGCAGTCTCAGCTGATGGACCCCGGACTGAATGGGTAGAGAAGTGGTCTCTGCAGCTCAGAGTTAAGGTACTTTTGCAGGGCAGTGTGTAGGGAAGGTCTCAGTGCCGCTGCTTGGGCTGTACCTGTTTTTGTGGATAAATAAAGGACATTAGCCTGCAGTGTTGGCCATTTAGGAACTTTTCACCAGCACTATGTACATGTAAACCAATCCTGCCAAATTTAAAGCCTAAATGACTTGCCAGTGTCTTGTTTTCTCTCTCTTTAGCCTGTGTTCATTCAGCCTTTTTCACTGTGTCTTCCCATGTTTCCTCTTTTGTTTTTAAACTAGAGAGTCCGTTGCCTTGGGCACCACTGATTTCACAGAAGAGGATGTGGATAAGATTATGGAGGAGCTGGGCAAGGAGTACAAGGGCAATGCATACCATCTTATGCACAAGAACTGCAATCACTTCTCCACCGCTCTAGCAGAGGTTGGCATAGCTATTTTCTACTTATCTTTACTGCTTCAAGACCCATGGCAATGCTCATGTGGGAACTGGGGCCAGCACAGCCATAACCAAATCTCTGATCTCTGACTTTAATCCTCCTTGTGATGTTGCAAAAGTCCTTTGCTGTTCTTAAGCTTTCCAAAGCATGCAGTCAGGATGGTAGTGAGATCCAATACAGCAGGTTAATCGCAAGTAGGTATTGTCTGTATTGCTCACCTATAACTTATGTATCTGTGGTAAAGAGGCGGGAGCTGAAATAGTGCTATAGGGCAGGGGTACCTGCACTCTGGCACACTGTATTGGCCACTCAACAGGAACCGGAAGGCCATATTTAAGTAGCATGTAAAATGTACATAATTTTTAAAAGCAATCTTAAATTGCCCATGCAACCTTAATTCAGCCCCCTTGTGCACATGCCTTATGATAGTATGTGATCATGCAATTAAAGCCTGTTTTTTACCACAGGACCCCAGTCTCATTCAGTGAATGGGTAGTTATTCGATATTTCTTTTTATCCTCCGCATTCCGTATGTGACCCCAGGTCTTATTTACCACACATCATCCGAACCCTGCACTGAAGACTGACTTACTAATTTCCTCATAGACTTTTCTATGGTACTCAACACTGTAGTATCTGAGTGCTTCACACATATTAATGAATTTATGTTCACAACTCCCTTATCTCCATTTTACAGGTGGGGAGCTGAGGCACAGAGAGATTAAGGTAAAAAAAAAATCCCCTAATTTTGGATGCCCACTTTGAGACACCCAGGACTTGATTTCAGAGTGCTTAGCATTATAGAGCGCTTCATATATTCAAAGCACAGCTTCAGTTATGGCTGTGAGTACTTAGCACTTCTGCAAATCAGACCCAGGGTCTCAAATCAGGCACTCAGAAAATGAGAAACACACAATGAGTGCCCATCAGTGTAAAGTTTGGTTTAACTGACTTGCCCAGCGCCACACAGGATCTCTGTGGCAGAGGCAGAGATTGACTGGAGAACTGGAGTCTATTGCCTTAACCATGAGAATGCTCTTTCTCTTCCTGCAATCCCCTACCTGATTCACTATACACTTTCCAACTTTTGCAACAGATGAAGCAGAGGTCCTATAGACAAAAGCCTCTGTCACTACACAGTCTTGATTGATCCCCACAGCAGGTCCATCCTCTGCACTGAATGAGGCAGGGGTCTTGTGGAAAAATGGTATGTGCTCATGTAATTAAAAGCAGTGTCATAATTGTGAGAACCAAAGGTTAATTTAGGAGGGAACTGATGACTGGCTGACATACACCCAGAATTTCAATGGTTCTGGTCCATGTTGCCTATTGAAAGAGAGAAGATTCAGTATCCGTTATATACATTTTATTAGTGTTAATAAAGAAAAATAAAATCAAGAAAGCATATCGCTAAAAGGAAACTTCTATTAACACTGCTAAATTGAATTAAGAAATACAATTACAAAATCAGCAAGTTAACAGCAATATTGGATGGGAGTCAAATCATCAGATTTATTTTATACAACAGATAAACTTATAAATCATAAAAAGGCATCTCAGGACGTGGTTGTCTGGTTATAAGTTCCAACTAAAGAACTTCATCCAAGGCAGTGCAAAAGACGAGATTTGACAACTCTTATTTGCCAATTTACAGCTGACAGTTTTAAAGTGTTTTAGTTCTCTACACAGAACATGGAACATGCATTCAATCAATAGCTTTCAAGAGACTGAGTTCAGGGTTGTTTAAACTTTCTTTCCAGTTCCTTCTCTGTGTGAACATTCTAGGCACTCATATGCACACACACATCCACTCTTTCGTCTTCTAAAATGCTGCTAAAAGGCCGGGACATCCTCCAATTAATAAAATAAGACAAAAACAGAAAAAGGAAAAATAAAATACATAAGATAACAGGATTTGAACTCTTTAGCTCTCATGGTCTCTGGACTCACATGGAATAGGAGCTGGAGCTGCAGTAAGGGAACCAGATGATGATGTAGCCGATACAGTGCTTGGTGCTGGGAGACTGGGCAAAAGTTGGCATAATCTGTTTTTGTTGTCTTCACTTCCTTTCCCCAGAGGTGGCCTGCTTTGTATACCAGGAGTGTCAGACTTCCCTTGGCTGGCCTGTTGAGCTGATGGACAAAGGCCCATGGCTTTAACCTTCTTTTTTATAGTTTGCGATTCTCACTCACTCCACCTTACAGCACCTCTCCCTGAGGTCTTTGGGCAAATCAGGCGTGAAGTATACCTCGATCAGAGGTTAGGTAATTTTTAGGCCAGCATCAGTTTGAAAAAGAGCTGCTTAAGCCAGCAGTTTTAAAAATATTTATTGTTGCATACTACAAGCACTGTGGGGGTGAGTTTGTCACCCCCAAAAATATCCAAAATGAAAGAGGCGCAAGACCCCTTTTGAGGAAGTTAACCTCCCTCTCTCTTCCCTGTCCCCTTTGGGGGAGAAAGCCTTCGCTGATATCTTGCACCAACTTACCAAAAGTGAGGGCTCAAAATTCAGTAAAAATAGCTGGTTGCAAAGACCCTAGCAAAAACGCCAGCCTCTCAACATCCATCAGCAACATTAAAATTACATGTGAACATCTTCTGACAGATGTCTCTGACTTTTCTGGTAAACATGATAATTTGGCAACCTTCCTATTTTTAAAATGAGTGACAGGTCATGCAGCTTATCTCTTTGGAAATTTCAGTCTTCTAGGGGAAAGACTTTAAAGCTTCTTATGATAAATCCCATTTAAATGAAAAATAATTAAAGTTTATATAAAGTCTGTATTTTCATATATGTTATTTCTCTCTCAAATCACACACACACTAGGGGGCCAAATTAAGGTTGTGCAGGCAACTTTAATTTTGGCATTTCTTAATTTTTGACTGCTTAAGTTTGCTTGACTTAATATTCTTTTCATGTGGGTTTTAATTAACTTCCTATTAAACAAACAAACTGAAAAAACAAATTCTATCATGTGGAGCCATACTGACCACCCACCGGAATCATCAGCAGGGTTTGGATCTTTGCATTCACAGTAAAGGGCAGTAACTAGTAGCAGTAGTAGGCTGTTATCTTCTCTATAGACCAATCAGTGGAGGATGGCAGAGAAACACGCTTTGCCAGTAGGCTTCACAGATATTGGCTGAAAGCAGACAATTTAGAGACTTAGGACTCCTCAGTTCAATTTCAGGTTCTGAAGGGGTATGTAATCTAGTTGTTATAGACCCTTATGCCCCCAGCCTGTCTCTTTTCCCCGTACTCCTATCCATCACAGCCCAGCTCTCACCCTTCTGCTCTTATCCACCCCCAATTCTCCACCCACCCTCCTTCTATGCTCCTACTGCACCTTGCCTCCAGCTCTCCTCCCCTTATTCAAGCCCCTATCCCCTGGCTTCTGTCCCCCCACTCCTCTGAGACTATGTACCCTCCAACTTATTCACCCCTTTTACTTCTATCCATCCCTGTCCCCTTCTGTTCTTATCCAGCCCCACCCCCACAGAGGCTCCTCTTCATCTGAGGCAGACCACAGCATCTATTTAATAATGCATAGCTACATTATGCAAAAGTGAAGAACTGGAAGTAAAGAAGAATATCGAAGTGTAGAGGTGCTGGCCGGGGCTCGCCCCTCTCCGGGGCGGAGGGGAGCCACACCGCCTCACTACACCAAGAAAAAAATTGAGGTGGGGATTTAGGTCAGCAGAATGTAATTACTTGCTCAGACTGGGAGTTGATTAGGGACACCAGGTTGAACATACAGCTCCATGCAAAAAATCCCCAGGGGGCTCAAGTGAGTACATGTGGTCAGGACCTCTCTTGCTACCTCTCATCCAAGAGATGGCACTTTCAAGACTACTGTGCCCTTACACCATGCTTGGCATTGACTCACTTCTGACATGGAAGCAAGAGTGCTACCTACTGAATCATCAATGCCACTTCCTACAGCACGCTGGCATTCCTTGGCGGTAGTGTGGCCTAGTGGATAGTGCATTGGACTGGGCTTCTGGAGACCTGGGTTCTATTCCTGGTGCTGCTGCTGACTTGTTGGGTGACCTTAGGGAAGTCTCGTCACTGCTCTATGCCTCAGTTTCCACATGTATAAAATGGGAATAACGATACTGGCACTTTGAGATCTACTTATTGGAACTGCTAGATAAGATCTAGGTATTACTCCTGCTTCTACTACGATTATTATTACTATCTGTCAGGCCACTGCTACTTGGGATATTTGATGAGATCACAGCCTGTGGTGCTCTCAGTGCAGACAAAATCAGGGGTGGCACCATGAAGCTAGGGAAAGAACTCTCTCATCCAGAAGGACTGAGCTGAGACAGCCCAAAAGCCAGTTGGCAATGTAAGAGTTAACATTTAATTTTTCACAAATACGTCTGGTGGGCCTCAAGGGTCAGATGGACAGCCGTGTGCTAGCTGACTGTGTTTGGCCTTCTTAATTTTCTCATTTGGTTGTGGCCCTGTTAATTAGTGTCCATACAGATGATTGGCTGGAAGTTTGGAGGCTACCATCTGGTCATGTGGTCTGAAGGCAGACTCCACGGCACGTTAAGCAGACAGAGGTCATGTTGCCACAGAAAGAGGACAGAAAGGAGTAGGAGCTCTGTTCTCCCCATGGGGAATGGGTTAGGTTCTGAGTCCAATCTTAATAAAACACCCATTCTTCGGGCTCAGCTGATTGATTGAGCTCCCTCAGACAGAAGCCCAATTACAATCTGAGACAGGAATTTGAGCTACAACATTCAGATTTGGATCCAGTTGATAGCTGAGTTTTGGAAACACTTGATAGTTGAGGGGAAAAGGGGGTATATGCGTTGATTTCAACCTCTCTCTTATTACAGTAGGACAGATTTACTTTTAACAAGGCCTCAGCTTGGCTTGCCTTGCCTTTTCATGCCCACCATTGTTTGTGGATGCAAATAGTTGTGGATGCAGTTGATGTCATTTAGATGTCTAACTGCTGGCCTGCACCC